GGCTTTAGTTTAGCGTCCCCGTCGTGATTGAACTGCAGCAGTGGTCTGGGCGCAGTGTGCGATTTGTACCAGTGGTACATTTCACGGCTTCTTTATGGCCTGTGGACGACGTGTCCGTCTGATGGTGATGTCCACTGCTGCACTGGTGGTGGGTCTCTTCTTCCTCTCCTGCCACTACCCCAAAAGAGAACGAGGATCTTGGAATCGAAGAGGCGAAATGATAAAGAAAAAGGAAACTCAATACTATATGTAGGTAAGGCGCATATGAAGCTACCAGAGGCTCTTTGTTTACAAACAACGCCTTACGTCGATCATTATTTCCGTTCGTGTCATTTTTTTTTTTTTTTGCTGGTGCTGTTTCTCCTGTTTTACTTTCATTATGATAGATGTATCGATTGGTTAAGGGCTATTTGCTTTGGAGAGAAGTTTTTATTTACTACAAACCCATTTGCGGGAAAATCAACCTCACATTCGTAGGAGTGATTAGTTGAGCATGGAGCAAAGTACGTTGTAATAACTATTTCTGTAAGTATGCTGCAGCAGAAATTCAGACCAGTAAAAGAAGTTAGAAATCTCATCTTAAACAATTTAAAACTTATTTAGAGTGAATTATTGACGAACATACACTTTTATCAGTTGAGTGTTAAAATTAAATTATTCTACTGGACAAATGACCTACGAGTGTGCTTACAATTGAAGCATTTGTTCTCGAAGTTAGGTGCGACTCAAAACAGCAACTATTATCATGTTAGGGACGGCAAATCCCAAAAGCTGTTGTCAAGCAAAACAACAACAAAAATCGAGGGCTTCCGGCCCGCAACTCCAGGCGAACTGAGCTTCCGGTACCTGTTTGAAGAGCTGGTTTGATCAGCGACGATTCTTTCGAAGTGACGACTGGGTCTGGTTGCTGAGGAGGAAGAACAACTGCTGAAAGCTGGCAGGAAGTGTAAGTTCTTGTTGGTAGTAGGCAGGCGTCGATGGTGACTCTGTAGCTCTTTACTCCTATGGTAAAATCCATAAGCAAACGTCAGACTGTGCGTGAAACATGGACTTCGTACTATCCTTTTACTCCACCGAGCAATCCCAGAAGAAACTGTCAATATTTTCTAGAAGAGACGATTTCTCGACGGTGCCGTCAACACCAATTTATTCGAAAGGCTCATCAAAAGACACTTCAAGCCAGTGTTGGGAAAATATAAAAAAAATCAAATCTCACCAATGCCCAAGATCACGCTTGATTTTCGTAGACAAAAATCAACAAGCATACAGCTGCGATTGATTTTACAAGCTGTGATATCGCAGCTCAGAATATCAAGCTAACGAAACTCACCAACTGCAAATCTCAACAAACTATGGTGAGATTGAGTTTAATGATTTACACCCGAACGCAACCGAAACTTCCATAACGGCTGGCAGCAGTCACTTCGTTTCTGCCATCGGTGAACAGTAAAAAGAGATAGTAAACTATACTTTCTCTTTCTAAGAAAACGATGTGCAACAGAATGATGTGTCTAGTCAACTCTCCGCTTGATTTTTGCTCGTTGTGAATAGTCTCGCGATATCAAAGGAGCTTGTAAAATCAATATCAAGCATGATATTTTGTTCCAATATCACGCGTGATATTGAGAGCGTATGAGAGCAAAAAAATATAATTTGATTGATGATTTTGCCAACACTGCTTCAAGCTGAACATTGCATTAGGTCTGATAGAAACGTCTACTCAAGTTAGAGTGCAAGTAACGAATGAAGTTTTATTGAACAACTATACCGACGCTTACTATGTTCTAACATCCCCCCATTAAACCTGTATAGAGATCGAAGCGAAGGGAAAATCTCATACAAAATACTAAATTTTTCACCAGCGTGAAAAACGCAATTGGCAAATTTTTCACTTCGCTTTGAACTGTAAACAGATACGATCCAGCGAAATCTAATGTTGTGGATCGCATCTTTTTCACTTACGTTTTTTTTCGCGCATGCAGCGCTCGCGAAAAGAGCAGCAGCTAAGCGAAAAGTTGACGTTTCGGAAGAGCGTATCTGTCAGATTTTCACTTCACCGGAGGTGTAAACTGATCAATTTCGTTTCACATGAACTGTAAACTGCGAAAAAAGGAAAATGGAAAATGTTCCACAAACATTTTTTTAACCCCTTTTTCGCTAGCGAAATTTCATGATTTTTCGCGTGCTTCAATTTTCGTTTCGCTTCGAGCTGTATACTAGGCTTAAGCGGGAAATCCTGAATTCCTAACATTTTTCTATTGTCAAACAGCTTTGTGTTCGCTAGTGCTTTCGTGAACATATCTGCTGCCTGAAGGTTAGATGGGACATAATTCAATGTAATAGCTTTACAATAACTGATCTCGTACATAATGATGCCTTATATCTATATGTTTGCTTCTTGAAGAGTAGCCGACATCCTTCTCCGCCAGACTTATTGCCCTCTTGTTATCGCAGTGCAGTTGATCGAAACGGAAATTTCGACACCGTGAAGCTATTGCAGGAATCCCCTCCACCATGCCGCTTCCTGGGTGGCAGAAGAGAGTGCCATATATTCATCCTCGGTGGTGGAAGCACAATGGCTGCCGTGCAGTGGACTGCTCCAGGCTCATGGCTAAAGCTGCTGACGACACTCACCGCGTGGCTGATATCTGACTGAGTGCTGTGCGCCACAAACTGCAAACCACCGACGAGTTCCTTGAACGGAGTGCTTCTCATCTTCTCTTTCTCTTTCACAGATTCGGGTTGCATCACTTTCGTCAACTTTTGGTTCACGTCCAGAGGTGTCGATACGGAGTTGGATCCCTTCTTACGGAATCGCTGCAGAAGTTTGTCAATGTAATGCTCCTGGTCTATGGCTACCATGTCATCAGATCGGTTGACCCGCAGTCCCAAGATGTGCTTGACGTCTCCCAGGTTCTAAATTTGGAACTTTGAACACAGTTGTTGCTTGACTTCGTCCACCAGGGCTTGATCGTTGGAAAACAGTAGAAAGTCGTCCACATAGACAGAAATGATGATCATAGGAGCAGGAGTCATAGTTAGATCGCTGGAACCCAATCGCCTTGAGTTTCCGATCCACCTTCTGGTTCCAGATACGGCTCGCCTGCTTCAGCCCGTACAGGGCCTTCTTGAGTCGGCACACTTTCGTGGGTGCCAGCGCGTCCCGGAACCCTTCTGGTTGTTCCATGGAGATCTCCTCTCCATGTAGTTCACACTGCAGGAATGCAGTCAACGCATCCATTTGGCACACCAGCAGATCGTATTTGGACGCCATTGCCAAGAGTTGCATACCGTACCACCGGTGTTATATCGTTATATTAACTTTGATATGTGTATTATAGGTGTATTATAACATTACCTTGCTCGCGCACACCTTGTTTCGTACATTCCTTGTTTCCGCGCGAGCACGTTTCGAGCTGTCATTAAATTTCTCTCGCCATGACGACATGCGCCTTCTGCGCGAAGAAGTATTAATAAGGAAAAATAGAAGGTTTAAAAGTGTAAGCTGTTGTGGTTTTATTTCCTTCCTAATTTCGGCCGTCACAACAGTTCTGGCGACGGAGGATGGCGAATCCAGGTGTGAATCCGATCATAAATCCGGCTGCTCTTCCACCACCGAACTTTGCCGTCGATCCATTGGACAAACGAAAGTTGAAGTGGATGCGGTGGGTGGAACGTCTTGAGACCGCTTTCCACATCTACGGAGTAGCGGATGCGGAGATGAAGAAGCATCTCCTTCTGCACTACATGGGATCCGAAACATACGATGTCATTTGCGACAAAGTTGCCCCGGATGCCCCCCGTGATAAGACGTACCAGCAGATCGTGACTACCCTGGATGATTTCTTCAGCCCCCAGCCACTGGAAATCAGCGAGAATTTCCGTTTCAAGTGCCGCCGTCAGGGTGACAGAGATGCTGCGTCTGCCAATGAAACGGTAGATGAATACCTGGTAGCGCTACGGAGGATTGTGGTTACGTGCAATTTCGGTGCGTATCTGGAGACGGCGTTGTGAAACCAGCTGGTGTTCGGGATCAAGCGGAATGACATCCGAAGCCGGCTGCTGGAGAAGCGGGAGCTAACCCTGAAGGATTTTTTTTTCCTTTGGTTTGTTTTTTCCGTCGATCTTGTTTTCCGTGCTGAGCACCAATGCTACCGACGTGCCAGGAAGGCAGCTCCCACACCTGGACCCTACCTATCGACCCATCAACTCATGAACCGGGGACCAACGGCTTTACTTCCCATCCGAAGATCAGAGATGTTATGCCTCAGAACATCCCGGCGGCACCGACTGGGATTGAACCCAGGCCTGCTGGGGTGAGAGGTAATCACGCTTACCACTACACCACCGGTGCCGTTGACCCTGAAGGATGCCCGCGATATTGCCGTGAGCATGGAGCTATCTCGTAAGGGAGGAGCCGAGATCGCAGGCTGCTCGACTAGACAGGAGGTACATGCTGTGCACCACCCAACAGGTAAAAAAGATAAAAAGAAGCCGAGTGCAATTAAAAGTGCGGGTAAAAGTGCGAGCGATTGAAGTTGCTATCGCTGCGGGGACAGATCGCACTTCGCGAATGCGTGCAAACATAAGCAAACAGTGTGCTCGTATTGCAAATTGACGGGGCACCTCGCGAAGGTTTGTCTGAAGAAGTCCGCCGCCGCGAAATCCGACTCTCGATCGACGAACAAACCACATTTGGTCCAGAAAAATTACGTGGACCAATCCGGTGATCGTCAAACCGTCGGGAGTGCAGTAGTGCGTGAAGTTTGTACGGTCGAATCGAACTCGTGCTGGACGTGTCCGTGAACGGAAACTACATTCGATTTGAAGTAGATACTGGTTCGCCGGTCAGTATCATCAGTGCGGAATGCCGGAACCGACTGTTTCCAACTACGCGGTTGCGTGAGTGTGATACGAACTTGGTTAGCTATTGCAATACCAGCATCGACGTGCTAGGTATACTTGACGCGCGTGTGGAATTCGCGGGAAAAACAATAACGATGCCGTTGTACGTTGTGAATTCCGAGAAGCACCCGTTGCTAGGCCGTGAGTGGCTGAAGGAGATGCCGGTGGACTGGAACAACATGTTTCAGGGGTCGAGTGTTGTGAATGCGATTGCTGCTACTATTTCCCCGCGTCGTGATGCTGCATTGGAGGAGGTTCTGGGGAAATATCCGAAGGTTTTCGAGGGCTCGATCGGAAAGATTTCCCACGTTCAAGCTAACCTACCATTGAAGAACGGTGCTCGGCCGGTGTTTCTCAAGGCACGGAAGATGCCTTTCAACATGCTGAAAGCGGTTGAGGACGAATTGGAGAAACTGGATGCAGAGGGTGTGCTCACGAAAGTTAACTCCAGTAACTGGGCAACACCGATTGTGCCTGTGAAGAAGTCACAGAACCGGGTGAGGATTTGCGGAGACTACAAGCAGACCGTGAACCCGAACCTCGTGGTGGACAAGCATCCACTGCCTACTGTGGACGAGTTGTTTGCTTCACTAGCGGGAGGAATGAAGTTCAGCAAGATTGATCTCGTCCAAGCGTACCTGCAACTGGAAGTGGCTCCAGAAGATCGTGAAATACTCACACTTAGTACTCACCGTGGTCTTTACCGCCCGTGGTCTTTACCGCCCTGATGTACGCTGTCGCATCGGCACCAGCTATCTGGCAGCGGCAGATGGAGGCCCTACTGCAAGGCATTGATGGAGTAAGCGTTTTCCTGGATGACATCAAGATCACGGGTGAAAACGATGAAGTTCATTTGCGTCGGCTGGAGGAGGTACTTCGGCTACTGAATGAATGCGGAATTCGGGTGAACAAGGATAACTGCGAGTTCTTTGTGGACAAATTGAGTACTGCGGTTACTCGATCAATAAGGAAGGGATCCATAAGATCCGAAAAAAGGTGCAAGCAATCCAGGAAATGCCAAGGCCGAAGAACAAGGACGAAATTCGGTCATTCGTCGGATTTGTAAATTACTACGGGCGGTTCTTTGAGAACCTGAGCACGGTCCTGTATCCGCTTAACAACCTACTGAAGAACGATGTTCCATTCAGATGGACCAATCAATGCGAAGATTCTTTCAAGAAAGTGAAGGAACAGATGCAGTCCGACAACTGACTTGTCCACTATTTTCCAGAACCTCCACTGCTGCTTGCTACGGACGCTTCACCCTACGGAGTAGGAGCTGTGCTGAGTCACGTGTACCCTGATGGCACGGAACCTCCAATCCAGTTCGCGTCCCAGACCCTGAACCGTGTGCAGCAGAATTATATGCAGGTGGACAAAGAGGCGTACGCCATAATATTCGGCGTGAAGAATTTTTTCCAATACTTGTACGGACGGAAGTTCAGCTTGCTTCGAGATCTTCGGAGAGCACAAAGGGTTGCCGGTCATGTCTGCATTGAGGATGCAACACTACGCTATGTATTTGCAGAGTTTCGATTACGAGATCCGGTTCCGGAAGTCTACGGATCATGCGAATGCTGATGCCATGTCGAGGATTCCGTTAGGAGTAGCTGATCCCCAGAATGAGATTGAGGAGTCGGATGCTGTGGAATTGAGTCAAATCGATACTCTACCCTTGACTGCTGCCGAGTTAGGTCAAGCTACGGCGGGGGATCAGACGGTGCAAAAACTGATCCAAGGCATCAAGCACGGCCAGCTGGTGGAAGCGAAGGATCGTTTCGGAATCGAACAGAACGAATTCTCTCTACAAAAAGGATGCTTGCTTCGGGGAATTCGAGTGTACGTGCCTACAGTTCTCCGGAAACGTGTGCTGGATGAATTACATTCTACTCACTTCGGTACAACCCGTACGAAGTCGCTGGCAAGAGGCTATTGTTGGTGGCCTGGTTTGGATCGGGAGATCGAAGAATTGATTGCGAACTGCGCTGACTGCCAGTCAGTACGTGCGGAACCTGCGAAGATGAACGTTCATTGCTGGGAATCACCAAGTGAACCGTTTCAAAGGGTCCATGTTGACTTTGCGGGTCCTTTCATGGATACCTACTTCTTCATCTACGTGGATGCGTTCAGTAAGTGGCCGGAGATCGAAGTGTGCAGATCCATTACGGCCGAATGCACCGTAAACATGTGTCGCAAGATCTTCAGTATGTTTGGCATACCGTCAGTCCTGGTGAGCAACCATGGCGTCCAGTTTACTTCGGAAGTTTTCCAGCGGTTCCTGAAGATGAACGGTGTAGTTCACAAAATGGGAGCGCCGTATCATCCGGCAACGAATGGACAAGCGGAGCGGTACGTCCAGACGTTCAAGCAGAAATTGAAGGCACTGAAGTGTTCCAAGTCTCAGCTGAACCTGGAACTGTCTAACATTCTTCTTACCTACCGCAAGATGATCCATCCGTCTACCGGGAAATCACAAGGCTGACATTGCTGTGCGTCAGTTCTTGGATGGTGATCGAGTACATGTTCGCGATTTCTTGTCGAGTAACAAATGGAAATTTGGCAAGATCGTCGAGAAGGTTGGAAAGCTTCGTTATACGGTGCGATTGTATGACGGACGAATCTGGGAGCGTCACATTGACCATATCGTCGGAGTGGGCGCTAATTTGCGGAGCGATTCGGTGGACCCTCCAAGGGAGGAGTACATTGAACTCGACGAACCTACAACTTCGGCTGCGGCGCCAGTGGCCCAAGCTACAGCGAATCCTGTCGAGGAAACTACTGGTATTGCACCGGTGGTTCCTTGCGCTACACCTGCTGCTGCGACGATAATGTCTACTCCTGGATCCCAGGAGCGTTCTTCGACTGTCATGGCCGGTCGGTCTGCTGTGTTGGAGGCTGCTCCGACGACTCTACGACGATCCAGCCGGGTAATCGTACCTCCCCAGAGATTGAATTTGTAATTTCTTTTGTATAACTTACTATAACTTTCTTTTTACGAGGGGGAGAAGTTTTATATCGTTGTTAATATATGTATGTATACACCTATTATAACATTACCTTGCTCGCGCACACCTTGTTTCGTACATTCCTTGTTTCCGCGCGAGCACGTTTCGAGCTGTAACCGTGTAAGCTGTTGTGTAAAAGTGTAAGCTGTTGTGATTTTATTTCCTTCCTAATTTCGGCCGTCACAACAACCGGAGAATACGTTACGTCGTAGTCCTCGCCTTTGACTTGGGAATACCCTTTAATCACCAGTCGGACCTTATGTCGTTCGATGGAGCCATTCGGACCCATCTTCAGCGCATACATCCACTTATTTTTGAGTGCTCTCCGTCCCACCGGTAGATCGACAAGGTCCCATGTGTCGTTATCGCACAACGACCGATGCTCGGCCTCCATTGCGCCAATGCCTGCCTCTTCGTGTAAATTTGTTATTCTAGTGTCGAAAGGACGATCAAGTATCATCCTCAGCACTCTATTCTGAGCGACCTGAATTTTGTTCCTGTAAGTCTGTGCACATGATTCCCACACCGGAGCTACGTAGAGGATCCCAGGTGCTATGATTTGTTTGTAGACAGCCCGTTTGTTCACCCTTTAGAGGCGGGATCAGCGGCAAATCAGCGGATACAGACGGTTATTGCGATATCATCTGCACACAGGAAGATACAACAGTCTCCGAGGGGAGGAATGTCTGAAGTGTAGATGCTGTGAAGCAAAGGGCCCAACAGAATTCATTGCGGTACACCTGCTGGGATGGAGAACGTGTTTGAAAGGCATCAATTCAACGATACTTCAAACGACCTTTGCTGAAGGTAGTTACGGTTGATTTAAACAAGATGCAAAGGAAATTTGAAGTTACAAAGCTTGTATACAAGCCCATTGTGCCAGACATTGTCAAACGCTTTCTCAACGGCTAACAATGCCATGACTTTGGACTTGGATACAGCTTTGTTACTTCGGATGATATTCATCACCCGTACTAGCTGACGATTCGTGAAGTGCCCCTTCCTGAACCCGAACTGTTCCGGTAGGAGAATGTTGTGCTCCTCGTCAAACTTGAGCAAACGATTGAGAATAAGTTTCTCGAACAATTTGATCAGCGCTGAAAAGAGACTGATCGGTCTGTAGCTTGAAGCTAGCGTTGTGTCCTTCCCGGGTTTGCGGATAGGTATGATTTTCGCTGTCTTCCAGATACTTGGAACGTAGTGCAGTTCCAAGAATCCGTTGAAGACAGCAGCCAGCAGAGAGTGAACCTTTATTCCGTCGAACCCGGGGCCTTCCTGTTTTTGGTGCATTTCAGCGCTAAGCAAATCTGCTCCACCGTGATTGTATCCTCCGGAGGGATAGCACAAGGAGAGGAATCAAGGTTGAGTACGCATTGCTCAACCTGAACTTTAAGCGGAGTTTGCATGTTGAAACCAAGCAAGTGCGATTTGACAATATGCTCACCAATCACATTTGCTTTCTCCTGAGGGGTGATTATGAGCCGATCGTCATCATATTCATCATTGAGTGGTGGAATGGGTTTGGGTTGTGTCTTTCCAGAATTGTCTGGAGCGGTCGTCCAGATTCGAAACGAGCCGCTCGAAACTTTCGTTCCGAACTGAGACCATTCTGGAAGCAATCTCCTTGTTCAGATCGGCCATTTCTCGTTTCCTCGCTAGATCTCCGGTTCTTTGGAATTGGCGTCTACAAACATTTCTCAGGCGAATCAAGAGTTGGATGTGGGAATCAATGGCAATAAACTTACCCCTCACAGTAACTCGTTGGACGCACGCCTCGTCAACCACGGTTATGGCTTGGTGGAATCCCTCCAATGCTCGGTCGATGTCCTCCACGGTGTCAAGAGGCGGGTTGTCAATGATATGCCTGTCTACCACGCGTCCAAACTGGGCCCAGTTTACGTGGTGGTAGTCCTTGCTCAGGCTTCGAGCAGGGTCCACATTGTACCCCAGTTCAGCCATCACCGGTTGGACAAGCCGGTATTTGTCAGGAACAGGTCTAGCGTCGATGCCCAAGTAATATAGCAAGTTTTATCAAGGTTTTAAAGCATTCTGCAAGTCCAATTCATGGTCTGCAGAACCCTCATAAAACCAAAATTGTTACTTGGGTGGGTTGCCCGCCGGTGAAATAAAGGTTGGCTCATCCGAAAACCAGCCCATGTTGTGAGTGGTCGAGCCCCAGTACAGCCCATGCTGCAACTGGTCTAACAGCAGGCGACCGTTCTGGTTCTGCTGGTAGTTCCGCTAGGCCACATGACGCGCGTTCAGATCTCCTCGAACTACGAAGTACTATTGAGTGCGGTACTATCGATAGAACTGTTTCAAACACATCGTCGGTACATGAGCAAATCGATGATCATCACTTTTTTGCCAGTGGTGCCGAGGGGGAGGGGGGGGGGTGATACCCCTCACCATTCCCGGAGGAGTTTGGTAAAGAGAGATGATAAATCCGATTTGAACCTTCCTAAAGTTGTCCTAGCACGCTGTCTACTCTCTATATACAATTTTCACACTGCCGTACTCTAATGGAACTATCAAATCTATACTTTCATCTCCCCATCTATCGTATAAAAAATACCACTTTAGTCTGTTTAGTCTCAATATCTTCAGCTATGTAAAAAGTTAAAGTATTTAATTATCTACAACTTTTTCTCAGATGTCATTTTGATCAGATCAATAATTTTCATGTTATGGTTTTTTGAAAGAAATAACCCTTTTTTAATACGCCCTTTTCAAAATTTAATCTTGAGAAAACAAATTATATTTAGATGAAAAATGTAACCATTGGTAGCAGCGAACATGTGAGCAATGTTTCATGCAAATCGGAAAGCATAAATGGGAATTTTGTTTTAAGCGTTTTGGGCTGGAAATGCTCTCCTGCCATTTTGTAAACTGAACTATTTTCAAAAATAGCCCCCCAATAATTTAACCGATGCAAACTTTTGGTTGGCAGTACTTTTTCTCTTGCATCGCAAGTATACAGGGTAAACAAAAGTACCCAGTGGCCAGTTAACTTTTACTTATATTTGAGTAGTTTGTCTCCCTTAATCCTTCTAATTTTGTCAAACACGCAAAACAACCCAATTTGTGTGAATCCGACGTTGAGTATAATCATGATAACCTACTTTTGAGTACAACTAACTTACTTTTGGGTAGAATGTGTGTGGGAAATTCCATACGAATTACTTTAACCCGGTTTACTTAGTTTAGGCTTCCCGCACAGTAATGCCGAAATGAGTGAAAAAAAATCATATTTGGATACTATTTGACTACTTAACATTGTTCTTACAGCAAATTAATCCTGAGATAGAGCTGATTGGTTGCGTCTATTATAATGTAGACTGCTCAGCTTTGGATATTGATTTTGCACAAAAAGAACGAACTTAAGTCAACCCTCTCAAACTCGATATTGAAGGGCCCATAGAGTTAGCAAGGGTATCGAGTTAGCAAGGGTATCGAGTTATAGAGATAAATTTAAAAAATTGCATTCGAATAGTGGTTGAAATAGCATAGATAATGGATTTCCATCAAGTTAGGATGAGATCGAACAAGGGAGAGTTGTCTATGGATAAAGCCAATTAAACACAACTTATTTTTAGAGGTGATACATTTATTATGCCACATTCTGTGGGAGAAGGGATAGGAGGTGTATGATTCTCTGTTAATCATTACATGGGGGAATTTCGTCTCAATTTCTCGTGTCATAATTAAGGTATGGCTCCTTAGCGTGAATAAGCCCACGTCATGTGCTCTTTTTATGTTCTCGATAAAACCAGATTGATTCATCCATAAAAAATACGTAAAATGCAAAGTTTCTCACGCTTCAACACTTCCACAGCCCTCATCTTACCCAGCGTCCCGAACTGATAAGACTGCGTCGCTGAAGAAAACATAACCTACAGCGGAAGGAAGGGCAAACAATTACGCTTCAATGACACATTAGTATTTATTGATCGCGGTCCGCATTGTTTGATCCCCGCAGTAGCGATCAAACGGCTGATAAAAACGCGTATCATGGTCAACTGAAAGTGTCAAATTGTTTGTTTTTGTTCCCGCGACCGCTCGGAACACCCAAAGCACTACTACTCACTTACACTTGTGGCGTTGTGCACGTGCGCGCTCATTACAGAACAGCAGCGGCACTTGAGGAAGTGGTTTAACCTTCACCGGCTTTGTAACGGTTTTCCAAATCGTAAGAAAATATCACTCAAAATCGCTGACACATCATCCATCCAGGCAGGGGCGAAAATCATTCCGACGTTTACTACTGCCAGGCGGCCTAGTTTTCGAAGGGTGTTTTGATAAACTGCCGACGATGAGCAGCGTTTGCGGTTTTCGGGGATATTTATATCAACAACAAGATGATTGTGGTCAGCAACACGCGATTCAGTTGTCTTCGGGGAAACACAAGTGATAAGGATAAGTTTGCGGTTGATGATAATCATCGTCCCTGATCTGTAGCTGAACTGTAGGAGGCTAC